GACAAGTTTAGTGCCTGGACCCACAGGAGCTAACCTGGTGTAATGGGCTGTTGGAGCACACTTGAAGCTTGGATTCACTAGGACCAGTTTGACTTTGAAGTGTGGGTCTGTGGGAACATGAGTCCACAGAGGTGGCCTAAAGCTATTCTCCAGGAGCCAACTTGCTATCAGGATAGACCTTGCACTGTGTCCTCAGAGTATACTGCAGCATTGTGATAGGTATGAAACTAAGGTATCCATACAAATAGGCCCTGATGCCTGGTTCTATGGAACCAAGGCTGGAACCCAGAATCACAAGGATTACCTAATATCCCACTTCCTTTGGAACACATCTGGGCATAACTCCATGGGAATGGCATGGCCTTTGCATGGGTATCAACATGATGCATGTAGCACCCAGCATAGAGCAGGAGTCTAGCAGTGCTGGCCCTGGTATTCTGGACAGCCTGGGGCTTAAGTCTATGGATGATCCAGCACTAGGGTGGGCCTGGAAGTTGCATCCACAGGGGCATGCTTCAATCCTGGAATAAAAGCTGGTCTGCAGTCTGTTCCATAGGTTTAAGCCTGCCACATGCAATCTACTAAATCCTTGGTCCCGTGGATGCCTCACACTAAAGTAGGCCTACAGGCTGAATGTTCTGGCATTGGCCTGGAGCTTGAGATTGCAGTGGGCTGACACAGGACCATGACCTGAAGTCTTGGACTGTGGAAGACAGGTAGTTTCTGAGGCCAGGCCAGTGTCTTGAGGACCAATTTGGCCAACCTTCAATTTGGAATAAGCTAGTGAGTGAATCTCCAGAGGCCAGCCTAGAGCATACAGCTCCAACTGACCTTGTACTAGGTTCACTAGAGCACCCCTGTGACTGCCATCTACAATGAGTTACTTTCTTCTGCCTCCTCTCCCAGCCATGAGCAACATAAAGATACTCTGAGTTGTGCTACTGGAGCAAGGGGGAAAGCAGTCACACAAGCAACGTCAAACTGTCCTTCCTATCTTCTCAAACTTTTCTTATGTCTGTGCCTAGTACTTCCTTCCCTGGCCTGTATTCCTCAGCTCTTTCAAAGATATTACTACACATGGGCAAATGTCCATATTGATGTTCCTAAAAGGGGGAGAGTGGTGGAAAGTTCTATCCTGTCATCTGGCTGATATAATTCCTCTTAGCACAACTATTCTTATCTGAAGGCAAAATGTCACTGGGATGTAGAAAGTTGTTTCATATTTTATGGTTACTTTTGATGAAAGCATTTCAGTTTTCATGTAGAAATCAGTCATCTTTGCCTCTAGAATTTGTGTTTAATCTTAAGAAAATCTTCATTATCCCTAACAAAATTTCTGTTACAAAATATAACTAGACTCAAAATTAAGACAGACTGGCCACAGAATTGTCTGGAACCTTTTGAGACACTGTATTAAGAATGTAAGAGAAACAATAGTTAATGGCTGCAAAAGTTGAATGAATACATCTATATAGTAGCCTCCATTTACAATTAGGGGACAATTTTAACACCCCAGAGAATGCCTTAAACAACAGAGTACCGAACCCTCAATATTACCGGACCACAATCACATCACAGTGGGTATCTACATTAACTCTGATCAGAAAATACTTGTGCTCTCTACCAACAGCATCACAAGAACAATATTACTGTGTTTTGTTTTCAACATTTGTAACAGAACGAAATACTAAATGTATCAGAAGTTAATGGCTTTATTCACATTTATGGATATCCTGAGTTGCAGCCATAAGATTCTAAGTCAGCACCTTGCATTAACAGACTAGGGCAAAATTATTTTTTTAGATTCATCTGCAGAGTTAGATTTCTTGATTTACAAAAGTTCTATGAAGCTTAATGAGCAATTTGAGATGAGGAAAAGGCAACAGAGAAATGACTCAATTTTAAATACTTGTAGAACAGAGAACTAAAGAGAATGAAAGTTCAAATCTTGTCTTGATCATGTATTTACTGCATCAGCTTAGAAGAATTCAGTGTCAATTTCAGAGTCTATTTGGAAATAGTAACAGCATGTATTTCCTTCAGTTGAGCATACTATCTGTGTGAACCAAGTACCTGAACTGCAGCCATCCATGTAAGAGATCCAGACAGAAACCTGGACACCTGGCTTCACCCTGGCTCACTCCCCACCATTGCAGTCATTTGGGTAGTGCACCAACAGATGGAAGATCTCTTTCTCTTTCTATCCCTCTCTATAACTCTGCCTTTTCAATTAAATCTCAAAAACAAAAAAGAGAGATATACTATCTGTAAAGATCTCAACCAATTATTTAACACTCAAGACTCCTTAAAGATTTTTTTTAAATAATACAGTTAGATTACTTAAAAACAAGATGAAAATGCAATGCAAAGTTAATAAAAAAAAATAAAAGGGGGATATTCTACAGTAAACTATGTATACACCTTCACATTAGAATTATGAATATTCGGGCCCAGCGCAGTGGCGCAAGTGGTTAAGGTCCTCGCCTTACATGCCTGGGATCCCATATGGGCGCCTGTCTATACCCGGCAGCCCCGCTTCCCTTCCAGCTCCCCGCCTGTGGCCCGGGAAAGCAGTCGAGGATGGCCCAAAGCTTTGGGACCCTGCACCCGCGTGGGAGACCTGGAAGAGGCTCCTGGCTTCGGATTGGCATAGTATCGGCCATTGTGCTCACTTGGGGAGTGAATCATCGGACGGAAGATCTTCCTCTCTGTCTCTCCTCTCTGTATATCTGCCTTTCCAATAAAAAAAATAATAAAAATAAATCTTTAAAAAAAAAGAATTATGAATATTCGGGAATGGCATGGTGACATAACAGGTAAAACCACCACCTATGCTGCTGATACCACATATAGGCACAATTCGAACCCTGGCTACTCCACTTCTGATCCAACTCCTGGCTGATGTGCCTGGAAAAGCAGCGGAAGATGGCTCAAGTGCTTGGGTTTCTCACGCATGTAGAAGATTCAGGAGAAGCAATCCTGGCTTTGGACTGTGCCAACTCCGGCTGTTGTAGTAATCTGGGGAGTGAAGCAGTAGCTGGAAGATCCTGTTCTCACGCTCTCACTCTCGGGCTATACTCTGGAACTGCCTATCAAACAAATATGTAAATCTTTGGGAATAAAGAGAATTACAAATATTCATAGAATGGTTTGGTTCTTGGCATGCATTCTTATTAACAGACGTAACTGCAGAAATCCGCTGCTAGACTTCAGGTTAGCAAGTGAAACAAACCTTCATGGCAATATGTCTACAAGGATATGGCCTGATTCGGACGACAAGTAGTTCAGATTTTCAAAGAAGGAGACATTGAAAAGTAACAAGACAATTAAGGAAGCCATGGCCAGTTGTTTTAACATGACAGTCATTAAAATGTTAACTGTCACAACACAGAAAACACTTATGATGAAATAGTAACAGAAGCAGCTGGATAAGTCGCCTTAGATAATAATATCAATTCCCGCATTCTCCTTTGACACCACTACTAAGTTTAAATTATATCCTATCTAACAACAGAGTTCTCTACCTTGTATGCAACATGCTTTCTCAGGTCCAGATTGCACTCCTTAATAGTCAATATCATTTGTTATTAATCGCTTAATTAGCCCCACGCTATTACAGTTGCAATATCACTCAAGCTCCTATCTCTAGAAACTCCCCTCTATGATGTGATCACCTGTAATTCACACTAGTTTAAAACCTTCAGCAAGTACACGACCGTGAAAAAATTATCTGATGTTCTGACTTATTTTCTACTTTTTTTTATCATCCCATCAATTACTGACATGAAAGACTACAACTTCAAAGCACTTGAAGAACAAAATGAGGATCATTAAAGAAACCAAAATTGCCACTAAGACCACGACTAACTAACAGGCTCTGAGATTAGTATTGATCTGGTTTGTTTTGCTTTGTTTTTATCTACTGATCCATTAACCAGAAAGTTTGAATTTGGAGATATTACATTAGAACACAGCATGCCTGAACTGCTGGAATAGGCAATAAAACTAAGACAGGAAATATCAAATGACGACACATCTAGTTTCTAAATGTAAAGTAACACAAGAACTGATCAGTTGTGATATACCACCTTCATTAAAGTATTAAAATGAAAAAAATATTACATGATCACATTTGCCACCAAAAGAGGAGAAGGAAGTGCATCTGCTTGTCTTTACAACTATGTCTTAAAGGCAACCAAGCTCTAGGAAATCAGCTTCAGCAAGGGTCCTAACCAGGCTCTGGGTCCTTCAAGCTTCACCAGAGGATAAAAAGGTCTTTACTATGGAAGTAAAAACACTGAATAAGTTCCAGACAGTATGAAGAACAATGGATAGTATTACCAATACAACGTGTCTTTTATTAAGCTTAACTATTCTAAAACACATCAATCTTTAACACTGACTGACAAATATTTTTACTAGCTCCAAAATGTAATCTGGAAAAACAAAAAGCTAGCTATAAAATTGATAAATCCACTGACAGACCTAACCTAAAGAAAAAGAAACATCCACAAAACCACTACAGTAAGGCACATCAAATTTTGCAAAATCACAGCCAATTAGTGTTTGGGACATCCATATAGTTACTGAAGATGAAGGGTTTAAATAGGATAAGCCATAGCCGGTTTGGGGAAGTCCTAGTGTTATGGGATAACTGCCATTCGACCTTGAACATGGCCTCCATGGACAGAGTCTGCAAGCTTCCCTCACAAACGCAACCCAGCAGTTAGGTCCCTGCCAGCTCCATTCACTGAGAAGCACTGGTCTCAGTGGCTTGTATGCTCAAGTATATCTTGAACTGTAAACCACTCGCATAGCACGGCAAAACATAGTGGCCGAATTCCACCCAACATTATTCCTTCAAACTCTACTTGTTAAAAAGTACCTAAAGGGTTTCATCATTATAAATGCCTTAATTGGCCAAAAATGTGAAGCAATAATCAAGAGTAATTTTTCAAAAACTGGTGATAATTAAATTGCAAATCTAAATTAGTCAATACCTGTAGGGAAAAGTTTATCTAAAATGATTTTCAGTCAGAAAGATTCAAATAAAAAAAGGTTCAAATCCCGTGTCAATAGGAATGACACCAGATTTAAACCACACTTTCTACGAAGAAATAAACAACTAGTGTCTCCCTACATAGTTAAGCAAAAAAAAAAAAAAAAAAGCAAACAAGCTGGCTGAGGCTGGGGGCGAGTGGGGAGGCACAGAGTGGAGACCTCAGGAAGATGGAACCTCGGCTCTTGGTGCTCCTACAAGAGAAAAGAGACACCAATGAGCGCCAACACGCAGCCGGAGGCCTCCCTACCACATCTGCCAGCCCGCCACGCGGCCGGAGGCCTCCCCACCCCACCACCAGCCCGCAGCCAACACGCAGCCGAAGGCCTCCCACCGCATCACCAGCCCGCAGCCAACACGCAGCCGGAAGCCTCCCACCGCATCACCAGCCCGCAGCCAACACGCAGCCGGAGGCCTCCCACCGTATCACCAGCCCGCAGCCAACACGTCCGCCAGCCCGCAAAGGCTCTCAGCGCTGCAGTGCCTGGCCTCACCTCCCAGGACAGTCAAGACCACCACCTTCCCTAACTTAATAAAAGTAAGATATATATATAATTGCTTCTATTAATCTACATCAAACGAGACAGAAATCGGCCTGCCTGGAAGTAGTACTTTTCATCGTCCATATGAGAAATAGCTTTCTAAAACTATGCCACTCAACTATATAAAATTACCAAACGCCATTAAACAACATTGAAAACACCCGAACTCTGCAAGAGTGGATTTGGCTCCAGCCAAATGGCTGGCCTGGAACTACAGTTTGTGATTCTGAGCGAAAGGTCACAGAGCGATGGAGCTGTTTCCATCAGACCGATGAAGGGAAATTCGCCACCTAGGATCATTTTAAAAAGATTATCCTTGCTTTCGAGAGAAGCCCAACACAAGCAGAATCCAAAGCAGAATAACGTCAAGAGTGGTACATGACAAGAGTAAACCATTTCTTCAACTCTGCCATACAAACCGTCTGTAGAATTTGCATTTGCAATGTAGTAAGCCTTGATGGTAATTGCAAAGCGAGTAAGAATTTCTTAGACACCACGACAGCTTCCACAACCAGAACTCCAAATGACTGTTAACTTTTCTCGTTTCTTGGTGGAGGACTGTCACAGGCAGAAGGTCTGAATTTACTCACTCGGGATTAAGACCTGTCTGTGGCCCGAGAGGAGCGTCCTGGGAGAATGAGATAAACAGCCCCATGTGCTCGCTTGTTACTGAGTATTTCGTGCCTAGCACTTAGGACACAGACTCCAGCTACTGCAAGCAACGCCCGAAGCACACGCTTCCAGCTTCACGACCCATACTCTGCTAAACTCACCGGCTGCGGCTCAAGGCATCACTGTTCCCTTGAGTCGGGTTTTACAACTGAGAGAAAGTACAAAGAATGAAGCGTTCTGGAACACTCCAGTGCCAAAGGGTGGCAAGCTGCGCCTTTGTATTTGCAGCACAGAAGCCCCAACAGAGAAGGACAAGGAAGCCTTGGGGAATTTCAGCGCTAGACTCGGCAAGCTCACGATCAACAGCGGAATTCTGAAGCCTTCCACACTGGGGAACCATCGGACAACGCCCACTTCTTGTCCACACACAGTCCTCCGCACAAACCCGAGTGCGGGAACCGGCACGCCACGCGCGGCCCCGGAGTCCTCCTAAATCACTCAGCTGCACCGGTCGCCGCGGCTGCACGTCCCGAGCCCCGGCTGAGAGGCGCAGGGAGGCCGGCCTGGCCCAGCCCCGCGGGCCCGACCCCGACCTGCCTACCTCACACCGCTGCTCCCAAAGCCCCGGGACGGGCCTGGCCTCTCCCGGCGCCCCGCCCACGGCGTCGCGCTGTGGCCCAGCCGGAGGCCGAGCACCAACTCGGCCCGGGAGCGGATCTCCACCGCCAGGCCGGGCTCCTCCTCACCGGCAGGCCTGTTCCGCCCTCACCTGGCGGGAATGCAGGCCGAGAGCGGCCGCCAGCCCACGTCCCCGGCCACGGCCAGGGGGAAGGGCGGGGCGAGAGGCTGGCTGGGGCGGGGCCGGAACGTCGGAGGCGGGGGAAAGGGGCGGGGCCGGAGGCTGGATGGGGCGGGGCAGAACCGTCGGGAACTGGGAACAGGGGCGGGGCGAGCAGCTGTGCCGAGGAGGAGCCGACAGGTTAGGGGCGGGGCCGAAGCAGGGCGTGGTCAGGGGCGAGACCAGCAGCTGGGCTCCGAACAGGGCCGCGGGAGAGACTGGGCCGACAGGGGCGGAGCCAGCAGCTGGGCGTGGTCGGGTGGCCATGGGCGGGGCCATCAGGTGGGCTGGGAGCTGAGCCGACACCGAGCTGGGCTGTCTCAGGGCCTACAGGGGCTGCAGCCCCAGGTAGGGCGCCCCTTTGTAAAGGGTTGTGGTGTAGCCAGGCTACCAGGTGACTGGAGCAGCAGCTGTTATGACCACTTGGAGAATAAGCCAGCAGAGAGAAAGATTTTTCTGTCTCTCCTTGCCACTGTAGATCTGTCTTTCTAATAAAAATAAATAACATTATTTAAAATGGCACAGGATATCAATAAACATTTCTCAAAACAAGACATACAAATGACCAGCAAGCACTTTAAAAGCACTTTAAAAGCTGCTCAGCATCATGAATACGATGGAAATGCAAATGGAAACCACAATGTGATACTTCTTCACCTCCTGTAGAGTTGTTACTATTAAAAATTAGTAATAACAATTATAACTGTTGAGAAAACAGTGCAGTTACTACCAAAAGAATTGAAGCTAAGATCTCAAAGAAGTGTGTGTACCCCAATGTTAGAAAAGCATCATTTACAATAACCAAAAGATGGGAGCCATACCAGTGTCTATTGACTGATGACGAGTAGATGAATAAAGTGTGATTTAAATATGTAATTTAAATATGGACTTTTGTTTGGACTTTTAATTATTTTAATGAATTTATTGATACATAAGATTATCAGGATTATAAAAATTACATAATAACACTGCAACACAATTATCATTTCTCATGCTAATGTGATATTAACACAAAGAAAACAGATTCAACCTAGTCCATAGAGAAGATCCCAAGAATATGTTTCCCTCCCTTCTTCCTTCTATTGTCTTTCTCTTTCCTCCTTTCTTCCTTTCATCCTTTGTTCCTTCCTTCCTGCCTTTCTTTTGGGGATAGTATATTTTCAATTTGCATTAACAACAGACTGCATACAATGGAATTTTATTTAGCACTTAAAATACAAGAATTTTTTAAGATTTTTTTTTTTAATTGCAAAAGCAGAATTACAGAGAGAAGGGAAGACAGAAAGGAAGATTTTTCCAACCACTGGTTCAGTCCCCAAGTGGTTGGAAATGTCGGAGCTGAGACTATCAGAAGGAAGTAAAAAGGATCTGTTTCGGATCTCCCACGCGGGTACAGGGCACCAAGGCTCTGGGCCATCCTCGACTGCTTTCCCAGGCCACAAGCAAGGAGCTGAATGGGAAGTGGAGCTGCCAGGACATGAACTGGTGTCCATATGGGATCCTGGCGGTTGCAAGCCAAGGATTTAGTTGGGCCCAAAATAGAAGAAAATTTTGACGCATGCTACATAAATGAAACTGGAAGACATTATACTAAGTGAAATATGCCAATCATCAGTCACAAACAGATGTATCATTCTAGCTTGATGAGGTTCCATGCAGTGGCTAAGTGTTTTGGAAACAAACTCTGCTAAGGCATGCTGTATACAACACAACCGTCAGCCTAAAGCCAAAAGCCCTCAGATGCAGGTATCTGCTTGTTTGTTTGTTTGTTTGTTTGTTTTTATTTGATAGAGAGCAAGAAAGGAGACAAAGGAGCTCTTTTATGCTGGCTCATTCCATAAGTGCTTGCATTGACTAGGATTGGGCCAAGATAAAGCCAGGAGAAGAATAAGACACTCCAATCAGGGATATTGCAAGCACTTAAGGAATGGATGGGAAATCTGTCTATTTATTTATATACAATACATTATAAGACTTTTAATATCCTTCAATAACATAGTCACAAAAACATCAAAAGGTAAACTAAATATTGTAATCTATGAAATATATATATATATATATATGTTATGTAAATCTGGTTCAACATCTCACCATCACTCAGTATAATTCACAACAGATAAAGACTGATGAAGAAACCGTAATGGTTATCCAAAAAGAGAACGATAAAGTATTTGACAAGGGTCACAGATATAAGGGAGAGAGAAAGGTTTAGTCCACGATGGAGCCTAGGTCCCTGGCTGGACAGGTGAGTGAATTGTGTTGAAAGCAAAATAGAAAAAAAGACTTCAGGAGGAGCAAGCCGAGTTATAGTGGTTATGTGTTCACTTTGACAGTAGAAAGAAAGTGCAGCTAAGAGGCTTTGATCCTGACCAAGATCACGGTCAGGAGTCAGTCAGTGGACACAGCTGGGCAGAGCAGTCAGGATGTGTGACACGTGATGCGTTAACGTGCCATGGGGAGGAGATGACTCCATCCAGAAAGGATCTCTTTCTCGAGGTTACATGTCTTGACATTGCACAGAGGCTGGGTGCGACCAGGGTGGGGCTGGGCACTGCTAACTGAGATGGAAGTAAAGAAAGAAAACACAGAGAACAATCCTGCCGTGGGTCCTTGGCTCTGCTATTAACAGGTTTTATGACCTTTGACAAGTCATTTCATTTTCTCCTTGCTCATTTCCTTTCATTAGCAAATCCTAATAAAAATGAAATGATGGCTATCATGGTATGAGCTAATGAATGCTTACAGGGTTCAGATTGTTAGCAAAAAGCAACCGATGAACAGACTAAAATTTGGGGAGGTGAGGAATGTTCCAGGTAGAAGGAATAGCATATGTTAAGTTACTGAAAAAAAAGAAAAAATAGAGAATGGTCATTTCTGGGAACCAGGGGTAGAATGAAACCACAGGTTTTCATAAGGAAGAAATGAGGAGACCTCAGTTACAAACAATTAAACAACCTAGTCCCAGTCATATAGCTAACCAGGGCCTGATGTGTGGCTTGGGCAGGTTTGTACGGTATTTAACTGTCCATCATGCACAGCCTCCCTTCAGTGTCACACAAGTGAGAGGACCATCATGAAGGGCAATGCAGGAATGAAACGCATCAGGACACTGAAGAGGCCACATGTGCTTGTTCTGATGAGCTGATGCTTAGAAATCCCATGGATGAAA